GGTAGTAGCAGTAAGAGCACGAGACGTAAGTCAAAACAATCATGTGGATCATGAAAATGACTTCCAAACTGGATGTTGTTAACCAACAGGGTACAAGTGGAAGTTCGACTGCTTTTGATCATTGAAGCGTCATCTAGAAGAAGTTGAAGATGCGATTGGTTGAAGGGTCCATGGAAAAGAAAATAGCTAGGAAACAAAGGTTGATGTTTGAAAGAAGGATAGAGGGGGAAACAAGGGAGAAAAGGTGAGTAAAGGTAGAGGCCAAGATTTAAAGATGAAGCAGAGAAAGGAGGAGTACTGCAGAGAGAGTTTAGTTGAGAGGTGCTCTTGGAGGGTAGAGAGGATCTACCAAGACTGGGAAAGGACAGCTAAGGTGGTGGAAGGAGTTAGGTTTGAGGTTTAGTGGCCTAGTCAGGGAGCTGAGGCAAGTGGACTGGATGAGGCTGAGATGGAGGTTGTAGTGATTTTCACTGGGAGTGACCAGAATGAACAGGATTAGAAATCAGATCGGAGGAACAGTGAAGGGAGAGCAGTTTGGAGATCAAGTTAGAGAAGTGAGGTCGACATGTTTGAGTTAGTATTACTATCTACTACTACTAGTATCTCTCTTGTGCTAGATCCACAATGGACAAAAGATGATGGAGATGAAGGTGCCAGGGAGAGAGGGAGAGGGAGAGAGGAAGACCCCAGAAGATTTGTATACAGGGATGTCATGTACGTTCTACACCACATCCATGTCCACCACATCTTACTACACTGCAGAAGCAGTGGAATCAGATGGTCCACTGACCTGACCCATGAAGGGAACAGCCGGGAAAAAAAGAAGAAAAAGAAGAGGAGGAGTAAGAAGACAGATAGATGTGTTTGTAACTGATAAGTTTATATAACTCCGTTAACTCCGCCCACCACAATAGATTTAAACGTGCAGCACAGTTACAGTGTCAGATGCCAGTGAGTGGACAGAGGTAGGACTGCTACACACACCGCAAACTCATAAAGACTTACAACAATTCCTGATTCAGAAGTTTGAAGTGCGACGTTAGTTAGCTTGAAGTTAGCACTTAAAGCAAGTTGCAGTGATTTGCGGACAACGCCCGTTTCTGCACAAAGTGACCGTTTCCGTTGAGTTCGTCCTGCGCAAGCGAGAGGATAGTAAGTTGTTTTGTTGGATTGAACATATCTACACGTCTGTCACAGTTGTCTGGTCGACACTTTTTTACAAGTCGAACTTCACGAGATAGAGCGGCTGACTAATTTAGGCTTCTCCGAAAAAAAATGTTAAACGTTAAAAGGAAAATTGAACATTTACACTTTAAATTGAACTACAGTTCCTACATTACGGTGGAGACAATCAATTATAAAGTGTTAATTGTTACTGTTACTCTTCATAAAATAATAATTTAACTTACATGTTATTATTACGTGAAATAAAACACTAATTATAATCGTTGTAAATCCGTGAAAATTAAACAATTTATTGATTTTTATGATCTACACATTTGGGTACATCTAGTATTTGCAATAGTTTGATGCTATTTGCTCTTCAAGACCAATAGCTAAATAGTTTATTACCAAATAAACACCAAATACTCGTTTACTTTACACTCAACAGGGGGTGCTATAATGCTACCTAAACCGATTTTTGCGTCGACCGCACTTGGTAGTTTAGTTGTGTTTTTGTTTTGTTTTTTGTTTTTTAAAATAAAGTCAATTCGTCTGCCTTTTAAGAACATTTAATACACTTAGAACCGAGTAATAATTACAGACATAAAAACTACATTATGGGACTGAAATTGCTAAACAAATAGTGGGTCACTGATTGGTGAAAAACTTTGGCCAAGGTCAAATGAGGACAGTGTTTATTTAGAATGGAACTTCCGTCATACAGGGACTTGGAATGTGCTGGTAGTCTAACGTTGCTCGTTATATGTCCTTTTAGCATATGAAAGTTTTTGTACATACATAGAAACAGATATATATACTGTATCTCTCCATTATGTCCAGGATGTGTTTTTGTTTTTCAGAAATCTATATATAGTTTCAGTATTTTATTTGGCATACAGACACAACATAATTTACCAAAAATCTAACAGATTCACCCAGCCCTGTGTCATCTTTAAACTTTGACCTTTAAGGAATTGTATTTTGATTGTTTGAGGATTTCTTTTTTTATATCAGTTTATGACTATAGTTTTATATTTTATACCTTTTTATGCTATTATAACTTCTGTGAACGGATGTTGACTGTTGACTAAATCTGCTGTTATTCTTCACACAGCTGAAAAATGACCCGTCGTGTGGCCATCATCGGGGGAGGGAGTTCAGGACTGGTCTGTATCAAGACCTGTCTTGATGAAGGGCTGGAACCTGTCTGCTATGAAAGCAGTGATGATATTGGAGGTCTTTGGAGATTTAAGGTCAGTCCCTATTGTGTGGATTTGTGCAGGTGAAATTGCATAAATCCACATAATGTTTCACCTCGCAGGAAAATCCAGAGCCGGACAGAGCCAGTATCTACCACTCTGTCATCATCAACACCTCCAAGGAGATGATGTGTTTCAGTGACTTTCCAATTCCTGGAGAATTCCCCAATTTCATGCATAACTCCCTCATCATGGAGTACTTCAGGATGTATGTTGATCACTTCAAACTCACCAAGCACATCCGCCTAAATGTAAGTGCTCATCTTTGATATATATGTTACATTTTTACAGTATAACCATATGTACTTAATAAGTGTATATGTACTTAACATTAATTAAACATATATGTATATATAATATATATATACTGTATATTCAATCTCCTTTAGGTAAACAAAGCTACCAGCAATGTCTTTTAGTTTATGCTGTTTTTGCTATATTTTTACTGTTTAATTTTTTTAGGTTAGAAAATGTTTTCTATCATGAAAATATTGTAAATTTAAAAAAAGAACATATATATATATACACATATATGTGTGTGTGGTAACAGCCATCATCTTCTGTTTTGCTCCAGACCAAAGTGTTGCAGGTGAAGCAGAGGTCAGACTTCTCTCACTCAGGCCAGTGGGATGTTGAAATAGAGAACAAGGACAGCACGAAGGAGAAACACATTTTTGATGCTGTGATGATTTGTATCGGACATCACTGTGAACCCAACCTACCGCTACATGACTTCCCAGGTACACCCTGCTTCCAACAGTAAATAAACGAACATCTGTTCCACTCTATAGTTAACAATTTCATACAAAGTCTGACAACAAAAAACTAAAATTAGCTTTGGGGCATTATTCCAGCAAAATGTAGCCACATTGAGCTGGCTTGGTATTTCTTGAGTGGTCTGTGCAGTAATGTGGGCTGGGTTTGTTGTCTAATGTGTTATGTATAATGTGGGTTTTATACACGGTTACAAGTTGCTGTCTTTTTCAGGCATTGACACTTTCACGGGAAAGTTTTTCCACAGCCGAGACTACAAGACTCCTGAGGAGTGGAGGAATAAAAAGGCAGTAGTTGTCGGAATAGGAAACTCTGGAGGAGACTTGGCAGTGGAACTGAGCAGAGTCACTAAACAGGTTGAATGATCATCTATGTTAACTCAAATTAACCCATTATTATCATTTGTTATACAGTAACATTTGCATTCATATTTTTTAGTACCATATTGTCTTTGCTTTTTGTTTTTAGCTGTACCTGAGCACTCGAAGGGGAGCCTGGGTCCTGAACAGAGTCGGGGAGAATGGGATTCCCCTTGATTTGAACTTCAACAGAGTCCTTGACTTTTTCAAGAGAGTTCTTCCCTTTGGTGTCTACTGTAGTCTGGGAGAGAGACGGCTCAACAGACGATTTGACCACCATCTGTACAACCTGAAGCCAAAGCACAGGTAAACATCAGTCAATTGATTGTTTAAGCAAAACAAATTGAAATACTGAAAGTATTCAAATGAAATTTGCTCATCTTAAAATACAGATACTTAACACGCTATGTAGAATTAGTTTCAAACCTTAGTTTTAACCTGGTTTCGTTGGACAGCTGTGAGAAGATCAATCAATCCTTAACATTTCATCATAGGTTTTGTGTTGTTAAAACAATAGGTTAAAAATGCATCATTTAAAAATCCAATTTACCAATGCAAATTGTCCTACACCTGTGTTCACACATGCTGTGACTTTAATTGTGCCGTCTGTGTTCCATAACTAATAATCTATGGTCTGGTTTAACGGGCTGTTTATTGAAAATCTCTTGTTTGTGAGCAATACAGTTTCACACTGAGAAAAAAAACGACGTTCAGTAAAATGACTGGACCCAAAGCTAATTTACAGCCTCACTGATTTAAAAAAATTATTTATTTTTTACTTATCTGTAGAAAACGAGATGAAGCACAGATGCATAACATATAGTCAAAAGAAATATTACTTTGTATTTTAGGTTGTTCAGTCAACATCCCACAGTCAATGATGACCTCCCCAACCGCATCCTGTCTGGGACCATTCAGGTGAAACCCAACATCCGCAGACTTCAAGGATCCAGCGTGGAGTTTAATGATGGAACCATAGTGGACGATGTTGACCTGGTGGTAGGTTGCTCATCCCTCTGAACAGTGAAGCTGTTCCTGACTACTTGTGTGTGACTTGTGGTTCCTCTGTCTTGCAGGTTTTTGCCACAGGTTACAATTTTTCCTATCCGTTCCTGACCTCAAAAGTGGTCTCAGTGTCTCAGAACAAAACAAAACTTTACAAGTACGTTTTTCCTCCTGAGCTGGAACGCCCCACACTGGCCATCATTGGCCTTGTTCAGCCACTGGGAGCCATAATGCCTATCTCTGAGATGCAGGCCAGATGGGCCACACGCGTCTTTAAAGGTACTACGGTCGTGCTTTGTTGTCATTTCAATATCTTTTTCCTCAGAAGACAAAAATGACAGTATGTGAAAATGTACCATTGTATACAGGCTGCATTAAGCTCCCTTCAGCAAAAGCAATGCTAAATGACATTAAATACAAGGAGGAGTCCATGGCTTCCAGGTATTTCTCTTTCAGTGCAGCACTTCACTGCATGTACATATACAGTATTAACAATCTGAAAGTACTAATTCTTCTTTTTTTTCAGATACGTTGCCAGTCAGAGGCACACTATTCAAGTTGACTACGTTTCCTACATGGATGAAATAGCAGAACTAGTGGGGGTCCAGCCAAAGATCAAAAGAATGCTGTTCACTGATCCTAAACTGGCACTAAAGCTGGTGTTTGGTCCATGTACGCCGTACCAGTTCCGTCTTAGGGGACCAGGGAAGTGGGCTAAAGCCCGTCAGGCCATCCTCACCCAGTGGGAGAGAATGGCTCAGCCGATGCAGACCAGACCCTGTGACGAGCCACCATGTCACAGTTGGCTCACATGGCCTGTGGTCCTGGCATCAGTTACTGCTGGCGTGGCCGCATACATGTACAGGAACAGCCTCTGTACTGTCCTGCAAGATCCAATGGCATGGCTGGACTGGATGAAGTCGTTCTTGCCTGCAGAGAACAATTAAATGTAAAGTACATTTTTCTTATCTGTCATAACACTAATGAATGATGACACCAAGATGAGCCCCGGTCTTTATGTAAATACAAACCGTCTCATTCTTGACATACGAGTTTACACTTAGAGTCTAGTAAATACCATTGACTCATCATAATTCTGACTCTGAGAGGACCAGAATAAACCAAATAGATTTTTTTTACCTCTCCATTCCATTGTTAATTTATCTCCATTTCAAAAATGTATTTCCTTGTATACATCATAAGACCACGGAGTAATTTAGAACTTTAAACTTTTAAGCTATGACTATGTCTAAAAATGAATGTTAATTTTACATCAGGTTAAAGAACCATTCCAAATGAAGGAAATGTGTATGTGATATAGACCATATTTTACTGGTTGCTCTGTTTCTCCCTCAAATTGTATTTTAAATGTACTCGTGTATTTTTCAATCTTACAATGTATAAAAAAAATCAAAGAATGAAGACTTTGATTTTCTACTACATGTGACAAAAACAAGTAGTACTCTAAACATTAAAAGCAAAAAAAAAGGTGTGATTGTTGATGGGAATCAGTTCTGAACGACATCCAAACATTTACACATGGTCAGAGCCTTTTGGTCCTAACATTTATATGACATCACAATGTTACTTTACCCATGTGAATCATCATCTAAAATCATAATTTTTTATATAGAATTTAATGTTCTTGTTTAGCTCTTTGCTGTGTGCCTTATTACAACGTTTGTACGTGACCTCTGGTACCTCAGAACTGTCGCGTTTTAATATCAAAATCAAATGAAGGTAGGATTCATAGTATTCCCACCCAAAGCAATAAAGTGTGCGACGTGCAGGTTAATCATTGATCTGGTGTTTGAGTGCAGCCAGTTGTTCCATTGCTCTGACCAATTGCTAGTAAATGTGGAGCCAAAACCTTACATAACAAACTCCTCCTCCAACCAAGATAGGCCACACAAAAGCAATTGACACAAATCTGGTAAGTGAACTGTTCAGGTAAGGGTGTTCCATATATTATCATTATTATTATTGGCAAATGAATTGTGTTTCTAATAGTAATTTTTGGGTCAAAAACTGTCATCTTTTCTGCAGGATATACTGCACAATATGCACTATGGTTCTAATCTTGGTATTTATTCATCTCAGATTGTTCAGCCAACATCCTACAATCAATGATGAGCTCCCCAATTGCATCCTATCAGGAACAGTTCAAGTGAAACCCAACATAGAGTTCAAGGATCCAGTGTGGAGTTTCAGGATGGCAGTGTTGCTGAGGATGTCGATCTTGTGGTTGGTGTTTGCACCCACAAACAGCACTAGTTTTTGTGTACTTTGGTATGTATCTAACAATTCTATATCTTGCAGGTTTTCGCCACAGGGTACAAGTTCTCCTATCCGTTTCTGACCTCACATGTGGTCTCAGTATCTGAAAACAAGGCCAAACTGTACAAGTACGTGTTTCCTCCTGAGTTAAAGAAGCCTACACTGGCCATTATTGGTCTCGTCCAGCCAAAAATCAAAAGGATGCTGCTTACTGACCCTAAGCTGGCATTGGCCTTGATGTTTGGTCCTTGCACACCATATCAGTTCCACCTCAGAGGGCCAGGTGCATGGGCTGGTGCCCGTCAGGCCATTCTCACTCAGTGGGATAGAGTGGCCAGGCCTTTGCAGACCAGATCAGGTGATGAGCCCACACCTAAAAAGTCATTCCGGTGGCCTTTGATTCTGACAGCTACTGCTTTGGGTTTGGTTGTTTATGTTCACCAGAAAAATCTCCCAGCTGTTATGCAAGAACCAAGTGCCGTACTGCACTGGGTTAAAGATTTCCTGGTTACTCAGTGAAAAGTTTGAATCTTCCTTGAATCAATAAAATAAAATATATATATATATATAGAGAGAGAGAGAGAAACTATAATCCTATTCAATGCATGTATTCTTATTAGCTCTGCTGCAGATATTTGCATGATAGACATTTTCTGAAAGGAGCCATACTTTTCATGCAAACATAAATATTACTTTAAATATTATTACAATTCATTGACAATGAATTATTTGCAATTGATAAATTAGTCGGTTCACAGTGGTCAGACTGTAGTAATGTCTATCATTAACTGTGTATCATGTTTGTTTTTTTTATTTTAATGTTGCAATCCAAAAAATCAAGAATGCCATTCTTTGAGGGTTCATTATAGTCACATTTTAAATGTTGGGTCACATGATCTCCAAATGATTTTTGAGTGATATATTGTAAAATGACATGTGCGTATCTCATAGTTCAACATTGGATCAAAAGGCATTTGACTTGTTTTTAAACCATAATGAAAGCACAAAGTCAAGTCTAAGGATTATCTATTATAACATGTGACGTAGGGCTAAAAGACCATGACACTGTCTAAGACTCTATTCACAGGACGACAGCCAACATTGAAATTCCAGTGTGAACAGTGTGGTGTAAAAGTAGAAGAAGAAGCGGCCACACAAAGCACACAGTTTCTTTACAAAGCAATATGGATGCCACAAACGTCAATAGTATTAGTGAGTATCAACAATGAAGATGTAGTGCGGTCTTTGACAAATAATTTTAAATGTTGTCATCAGTCAGATGGCTTCTACAATCTCTGTGGCTGCGGTTTCACTCCACTTGATGTTTGTCCTCCCTATTAAAGACCTCTGAGTGTGGTGTCATAAGAAGAACCTTGAACTGGAGATAGTAGTGATAAAGGGATGCAGTGATTTATTTTTTTTCTTACCAGGATTTACCAGGATGTACAAGTTCAGATATGAACAGGTCAGAGGAATACAATATGAAAACATTATTCATGGACTATATTGTGTCTCAAGACATTATATAGTGTTTACAATTAAACAATATATATTATATATAGTAATATGTCAAACACACAATGCCGTGAGGCTCCAAACAGACAAGTTTGAACATTTTTCTGTAGGCTACTACATATGCCGTATGATTTAGTCTTAACTTTAACTGAACTTATATGCTAAAGATATAGAATTATTGGTGGGGGAAAATGCTTTCTGCTTACACTGTCTATGCATGTTTTATTTTTAAGATTTTGTGTACCTTAGTTCGGTACATTTCAATACCTGTGTGTATCTGGACTGTACAGCAGAAACTGACAATAAAATGTAGGACTTGCATGACTTTAACATAGTTCCTCAGCAAAAACATATTGTTCAATAATGTCACCTAGTGGTGACAATGGAACTTACTTATTATTAACTAGATAGGGAAATATTACAGGATAATACTGTATCTCAATATAAGCACAACGGTCTTTTTGTTTCCCTGTATCGAACTGAAATAATGTGATTGACACATTAAATCAAAGACAGCATTTTATATTATCGCCTAAATGTGAAATAGCGTATGATAGAGACATTAAACTGAAAATAAATGTTAATTTTCGTAGTAATAATTGATTCTTGACAGATGATTTTCTGTAGATTTACACTAAAATATAAGAATGAACCTTTAATAATGTAAGTTACAATGTAAATTACTGAAATACAGATAGTTGTAGAAAATATACAACGTCTAAAACAGTTTTGATAGATAAAAGGACTAGCACAGCGAAGGTTTATCAAAAAGTCACCGCGACTTGTGAATCGCCGGTACACCCCGGAACAGAAATCGTCCACGCGTGAGTCGTAAGCATTTGGGTTGCCAGGTTTGTTGTTGTATTTTGGCTGTAACTCCGTAAACCATAACGGTCAAATCAAACATCCGAGTTTACAATGTTGTTTATTCAAATCTTTGCCTTAATTGCCTGTTCTGTTGTTACCCTCTTCAATTGAATATCAGGAATATCAATAAAAAGAATGGAAACAAACTTTTAAACAGCAAACAAATTGGAGGTACATATGAAATAGATGTTGATGTAGATTAAGGGCTTGGTCTGGTCAAGACCAATGAAATATGGGTCAATAAATGTTTAACAGATGACTCTTACGATGTGGTAATGCAAACGGCTGACATGAGAGCGAGAATTGGTTGTACTGGGGCATGTGTAATGTGTCAATACAAAAACTGAAATTACAAACCTTTTTGATTTCAATATGTGAGGCTTTCCACAAAATAAAGATATATTGTTAAGGCCAAATCAGACTTGGATATGGTAGATCTACTGTTTATCTTACATGCAATACTGACAATTATTGTGAATTATTTTTCACTTAATACACTATGCATGGAATCATACCAAAATACTTGCTACATAGTTTGAACCCTTGTTGTAAGTTTGTTTAAATTAGTCAATCCATTAGTTATTTACCACCTTTCACACTTACATTCCTACATATGGCCAACCTAATCTCCAGTATACATGAGCACGTGGCTAGAACAGATAAACTTTATAGAGGGGGATCAAACCAGTTGAGATGGCTAGAACAGATAAACTTTATAGAGGAGGATCAAACCAGTTGAGATTTTTTTTTTTAGGGCTCTTTCAGGTTCAATCCACCTTTTTCCTTTTGGCTACATGTTTGGGTCATGGCTTATTATTGGTAATTTTGATTGTTGAACAAGTAAACGTATTCATAATAATAAAATACTATATAAACTGCACATAGCCTACATATCAATCAAAAGCAACCACAACAACAAAATAATAATAATAACGGTGGACACACTTCCTGTATGCGCTACCATTCTGTGTTTAATTGCGGGACGAAAGAGATAAATCTGGCAACACAGTCTGCCATTTTTGATTGTGAGACAGGCCGCGGCGCGAGTGGGGCCTCACTTAAGTAAAAGAAAAAACGCTGTGACACGAGATAACGGGTGGGGAGACACGGAACTACGGGACCACCCCGCACCGGTTTTCCTCTTTAACGGCCGCGTAGACGACCACAGGCTTGGCGGCGTAAAGCGGCAACAACGGAGAAGCCGTGCATGTAATTACTTTTTTTTGACTGCAAACGAGTAAAGCAGCTAACAACCGTTAGCAGAAGTAGGTTAGCGGGTTAGCCAGCTTTTGTAATCCGCCGGCCATATACACTTTGGTCCGCCGCAAACCAGGCCGAAAACAAGATCCCAATTTAGGTCGTACAACAAAACAAAAAGACTAAGGAGGTGGCGGCAGGTAGGTCTGAGTGCACAAGAAATTTGTATCATGGAAGTTTGAAGTTGAAGCCGTTGTGTCAGTGTTGTCTCAACGGTAGCTGCTTAGCATGCTGTGGCCAGTGAGTGATGAAAGTGATGGCGACTACTGTGAAACGAAACTATGCTAAACGATGCAATCTGGCGGCCTGGTCTACAATTGCATCTCATTTGTTATCACATGGCAATAGTAATGAGCTCAGGTTGTATAAAACAGTTTGAGTTAAATATGATATAAACCATAGGTGGTATATGTTACCGGTCTGGCTAAGTTTCGGGCGCGGAGGGCCTTAGCTTTCAGCCGGTAAAAGCCACCCAGCCCACCAGGAGTTGAATGCCTCGTGAATCATGATGATCGGCCTGCACACTCATCGTTTTAGTATTGGTTTTCCACCTTCTTTACTGCGTTTTAATGCATGGTTTTCGATTCTCCCAGTAATACACCTAACTTCACTGACTGAAATAGTCTCGCTTCGTGTCCTTGTGTTGAACAGTACATCTGGTAGACAATAGCACAATATGCTTTGACCTGGTCACAACGTTTGTCGGTCCAACGGCTGTAGCAACAGACACATTTTCCACCGTAAACGGCGTGTTTTCACTCTGTCACAGTCGTTGAGGTTATCAAATGGGTCAAAATCACAGTCGTTGAGGTTATCAAATGGGTTTTTGACCCATTTTTAAGTATGTAAATGTAAAACTGCAGTATTAATATGCTTCTTTTGTTGGTCCGTCGTGTCTATACCCGGCATGTATTAAGATATGCTATTCAGTTTTGTATTGATTTAAGCAGTACTTTATCAATTGATCAGGGAGGGAAATGGCCGTATAATATATCTACAGCAGGTGCAAGAACAATTATTGGTTGTTCTGGGAATTGTTCATTAAGAAAATGAAAAAGGCTCTATGTAGATTATAAGTAATCAGAACCACTCTTAAATGACAAACAGGAATGTAGAACTACACAGCTAGTGGAGCACATCTCCATTTTATGAATGCAAATGTCCCAGGCTTCCTTTTGTACTTGAGTGCTTCTATTAAAACTGCAAAAAACCTCAGGTGATACCAAATATGACCTGTTTTGATTTATTTTGTACATGCTGTGTGGTACCTAACAGGTTAAAAGCATGAGAAACTCAGCTGCTTTTACGCTATGATGTAAAAAAAAAAAAAGATAATAGGTTAATTGGTCTATTTTGCGAAACATTTTTATATAAAATGTGACCAGTCTAAATATTATTTAGTCAAGTCATGAAACCAGTGTTGCTTAGACTTTGTGTTTTTTCAGGGTACCCTCTGGCTTCAACAGTAGAATTGCATTTGTGAAGCATTTATATCATCTGTTGTTTTTTTTAGTATGTCCCAGAAATTGCATTGCAAGATTTCTTAAGTTCATCACTGTGGAATGTACTTTGTCACAAATCTATCCAAATTTTTGCTGTTAGCTTTGCTTTTTTTGGGGGGTGGGGGGGTCTCTCCCTGGTCATATTGCCTCTTTGCAAAAGACAAGATGAAATAAGAATCACTGCACTGATTCACCTGAGAGTTTGTAATGTTTTGATGGTGAGGCTGTTCCAAGTGTGCAGCACAAACACTCCAACTCTGTGCTGTCTTTTCTGATAAATGTTGAAGAGCATCCTGTCTTGTAGCTATATAATGTCCCACATGGTTTGCATCTTGCCATTCCATTGCTTTCTAAATCATTTGGTGGAGAACTGTCTGGGACAGTGTTGTAACTGTTAATGGGCCTGGCTGTCTGTGTCTGCTTTTTCTACGAATTGTTACCACTGGTCATCTCAGCTATTGTGGACATTCAGGGTCCTTCACTAAAGATAGCATCAGAGTATGACACAACACATTTACACTACATAATTTTGTCATGTAGTTGAAATGTTTTATGATTAAGTCATACAACACATACAACAGTGTAAATAACATTCACGGAATGTACTGTTTGGTTTTAAGAGCAGAGTACATTCTGATTTGTCTTTATTTTAACAACTCAACTTTTTCTATAGGGATGCATCAAAATTAATATTCTTGGCTGAAACCCGATAAATGAGGAAACCAAGGATAAAAAACCCAAAATATATTATGCCTTGTATGTTTGTACAATGTACTGCAATAAGTTAATATTAATGTTTCAAAAAATAAAACCAAATTATGAAAATATTTATTTAGCACATTCCAACAATGCACAATATCAAATACAGTAAAAGTCTAAATAAAATGTTAAACTTGACCCCACCTATGTGTACATCAAATGATAATGTACAGGACTACTGGCCTCCTGAACGATTGTAAAAGTAAATATGTTCTGTCAAAAACAGTGCATTTCAGTCTGGTTCACTTCTCGTGTGTGCTGCTTTATTCCCGCATCCACTCAATGATCTTTATAACTTGGATCAAGTACAGTCGTGACAAAGTGCACAGAATCCAAATAGATCTCAGTGAAACTTGTGCTGACGGACTCTGTGAGTGTACTTTACATTGTTTTCACTCCGTCCGTCCGAACCTCTTTGCTTAGAAGACACTTTAGTGTTGTAATTAAAGGAATAACATCTACTACAGATGCATCAGAGGAGCTAGTCTCTATAATTAGCTGCTGGGGCAAGAAAAGAAAGGATGTTCTCTGTTAATACCCACTGGTGTGAAGTGAATGTTGCGGGGAGCTCGTGGTCTGCGCTGTATGCAGCAAAGACCCGCTTTTGCGCAAAGATGCTTTTTTTCCTCTCATCTTCAGCATAGCGATCAGGATGTTTGGATTTCAGGTAATAAATTAAACCTGACGTGGAGACATGCTTTCCAGATCAACCCCCTTCAGCATTTTGCAAATCGCTATTCGTGGGTCTTTCTCCGATATATTGAAATACATTCAAGCCGCAGACATGTTACCACTTTCAGACAAGCCCGAGCTGGACGCAGTTTTTGCTTACGTCATCATAACTTTCTGCTTCGGTGATGACTTTTCGAAAATTTACAGTGGCTGAATATTTGGTGCATCCCTGTTTTTTTTATTAACATATATTCATTGGATCAT